TTGAGGTTAATAACAATATGGGTAATTTAAATTAAGATGATTATAAAATCGCTTAAACGGAGAAGAATAACCCAGTCCTACTCCAATAGTGGGTATGTTTATTGCAAGCGGTGAAGATTTCGTAGGTTTTGCCATTAGTAAGCATTTGAGAAACGATTTGAATTTCATGTGCGAATAAGTATACTAATGAGCGAGTATCGTTATGAAGGAGTAAGTCGACTAGGTGTCAGAAAGAAAGAGCCTAAAATCCATATGATGTCTCAGTTTGTATTAGACTGGACTATAAGATGGGTACAAAAAAAAAGGAAATAAAATATAAGGAAGATATCATGTCCTTCAATTCTACGGAATGTAAAGTGTATGTTTGATATGTCCATTTTATATAGTAATTTACCCCCTTCCCTTGGTCATAATTAGTAGTGTTTTTGGCTCTTTCAAGCCACTTTTATTACTAATTTGTGTTTTCTAGTGTTTTCGTAGTTTTAGTTGTATTTTACAGGAAATTGCACTTTTGGAGCATTTTCCCGGGTTTATGGATCAACTACAGAAGCTAGAAGGACACGTCCACTTTCGAAGCCCAGGATCGGTGAGAGCCGATGATTTAGGGCTCGGTATGAGATAACGAGGTTATTGGATCGTTTAATCAAGACCCGATGAGGAAACTTAGATTGGGCCGAGCAATTGAGCCCAATCGAAATCCGAGCCTCGAAGAAGAAGACCGGGCTCGATTGGGAAAGCTTGCGCCCGATCGGGCGGGCGTGCATAAGAGAGCACCAACAAGAAGGCGCGCCCGATCAGGTGAGCGTTAGCTCGATCGGGCGCGGCTGCCCAGGTGGATCTTGTAGAAAAAGGCGGGCCCGATCGGGCGCGTGGTTTCTCAAGACCTGATTAGTTAGTTTTAATTTTTGTTTTAGGGAATGTTTAAGTACGGATTTGTGCGTAATTTTTGACGACCTTCTTTTTTAGACTTTCTCTCTCTACTTAGGATTTTTCTCTCTCTTAAATTCTCTCTCAACTTTTGTTCTTAATTACTTCCATTAATCTAGTTTTCTTTTGGTAACAATTTCTTCTCTTTTAATTTCAACTATTTTACTTACTTCTTTGATTATGTTTTATTTTATTTATTTGATAAGTTTAGTTATGATTATGGGTGAGTAGTTTCATTCTAGGGTTTATGGGGATTCATAATTAATATTAAGGGATAATTTGTTATTATTGATTATTGATATTGCATGATAATTTCTTATTGAATTGTTTTAATTCTTTGCAATTAGATTATGAACCGAGCAGATGTAATTTGATTGTGAAAGTTTAGCAATATTGAATTGATGAATCGAGCAGATGTTAATTTAATATTAAAGGCTATTTTCAATAGGAACTCAGATCTAGTAAATTGCGAGAGCCTGTTAGATCTATGTTGATTAATAAATTGCGAGAGCCTGTCAATCATGTTATTTGTGCAATGTTAATTATTAATTACTTCGTTTTATCCCGGAATATTAATTATTGGTGAACCTGTGACCCTAGGCTTCCTTATTATTGTTTCTTTTCTCCCTAAACTTATTATTCGTAGTATAGAATTTATTCCCAAAATATTGGTTACTTAGATAATTTAGATTATAATAAATAATTAGGAGTAAAAAGACTTGTTTCCCTGTGGAGTTCGACCCTACTTCCCTATCTACATTAGTTAGAGGATTTAAGTATTACTTTTGATTAGGGGATATAACTTTACCCTGTCAATGTTGATTAATGGTTCTCAAATGGTGTGTTATTAATTTAAAAGTGTATATTGTCCCACAATCATGCACTATATCCAAATGATAGTCAGCTGATGGTGAACTATCGGAGCATTGACAAAATTGCTTTTAAAAACATGGTCTTAAACAATTCAGCTGGCCAGAATTTCAATGACCAAAAGACAAAATTTGATTGTTATTGAAAAAGGAGGACAAGAGAATTTAACTTTTTTTTATTCAACCGAGGTTAATAGAAACCCAAAATAGAGCTAAAAACTAAAGAGTTCAAGCAAGAAAAAAACAAAAAACAAACTAGCTCAAATAAACCTAAGCTACGGAGGGAGGGACTAAGTGCGGTAATGCCACACCCCTAGCGTCCTCCTCTAAAATACGACCTAATTCTTGACGGAACAACAGTAAGAATAATCAACTGAGAGTCCAAAGTGACTCCGTGGTTGGCCAACCAATCCGCCGCTCTATTGCCTTCACGATATACATGTGCCACCTTGACTTGCCAACTTGTTTCCTTAAGCAAATGCTAACAATTTTCAATAGCATGGGTACTCTCACCCCTTGGCACCACTTGCTTCTATAGAGCTTGAACACAAGCCAAGTTATCTAGCTAGACTTCCAGTTTTGAAATTTGTAGATCCTTAGCTAGCTCTAATCCCCTTGTAAGAGCTCTGACTTTAGCTTTGAACACTGAACAGTGGCCAAAGTTTGCTGCAAATGCTAACACAAAACGGCCTTCATGGCCTATGTACCATATTCGGTGGGGATGCTAACACTGTAAAAGTACATTTTGAAAAGATGCTAGAAGGAAACTCTGAATTTTATAGTGCCATCCAAACATATGAGAAGGGCAAACTTGTTAATGTTTTTTAGGCTGATGCAAGGTCTTGTTCGCAGTACATAGACTTTAGAGATATAGTCTCATTTGATACAATGTTTTAACGCAATAGGTAAGATATAGGTTATATTTGTTTGGTTGTTGGTATGATTTAAATAGTTTAATCTACATGTATTTCTAGAATTTGTGTGTTTAAAAAATTGTTAATTTCTTTTAAAAAAGAGTTTTTTTAAAAAAAAAAAAATTAGAGATTCTTTTCATACATTAAAACATCAAAATTTCCTTTTTAGTTACTTTTTAGAGTACTATATATTTAAACATTTTATTCTTTGCACTTTAAAGTATCTTTTAGAATCAAAGAGTTAATAAAGATTATTTTTTCTACATTTAAAGTATATTTTTGAACTTATTTTGTAATTTTTACATTACATTAAATTATCTTGTTTAGGTACGCCATTTGCTCCTTATGTTGGCTGCAATCATCACGGATCGTCGATCATTTCAATGCTGCCTTAATTTGTAATGAAAATTCAGAAATATTTGAGTGGGTATTCAAACAATGGTTGAGTTGTATGGGCAAGCTTTCCAAAAGGTATCATCCCCGACCAATGTAAAACAACAGGGAAGGTAGTTAAAATAGTAATTCCTGATGTGCCGTACCGACTATGTACATTGACTATCTTACAGAATCCTCAAACGAACTTGGGAAACTTAGAGAAATTTTAAGGAGATACAGATTGATTTAAAAACTATCGTGTAAGATTTTCTGTGTGTAGAAGAATTATTTGAGGATGCTTGGAAATAAATGGTAAATAAATATGGGTGGGAAAACAACGGTTGGATTGATGCCACATATGAGAATAGGCATCGTTGAGCGCCCATATTTTGGAGGGATATTTTTTGGGCTGGAATGTTATCAACGCAGCGGAGTGAAGGACAGAACAGTAGTATTAAGGGATATGTGTAGTTTGAACACTAGGCTATTGCAATTCGTGAACTATTTTGAGCAAAGCAATAAAAAGAAAGTTGCAGTTGAGAAGGCCAAAACTAAATTTCCTTTCTCATTTTAAACCCTACGGTATGACAACACAATTCTGGTTGAGTCAGTATTTAGCAAGTCATACACTAATAAGAAATTTCTGGAGGTAAGGGACGAGATCATAAACCTTAAGCATACAATTGTTTTTAGGATAAGAAATGAAGGGACAAAAGTTTGGTATAATGCAGAAGAGAAGATTCTGATACCTCTTTGGAAAGCAAGGCGTAAAATGTTCAAGGTTTCGTGGAAAAAGAAAAAGGTGAATTTTGGTGTTCATGCAAATTGTTTGAGTTTTGCGGAATACTGTGCAGGCATATAATCAGGGTTATCGAGATAGAAGACATTAACTTTAATCCTTCTAAGTACATTTTGGATCGTAAGAGGAAAAATATAGTATGGGATTACGAAGGCATTCATGTGTCGTACTACGACCCTAATGATTCGATTAAATGGAAAAAACACAATGAAATAAACTTGAGACATCAATACTTATCAACATTAACAATGCACAACGATGAGACAACAATACATGTCAACATTCGTGGATTGAATACCAATAAATGCTTCAAGAGTATCACGAATTTTGTCTGGTAATTCCTTATACAATTGGAGTGTCTCATCAATGTGCATCGCTAATCGTGCTTTCTAGGAGAAGCAAGCCAGCTAAGCAACTAATCAAGTAAGCTAGTGACGATAGGTATTGGTGTCTCAAGTTTATTTTGTTGTTTTTTTCAATTGAATCAAATCATAAGGGTTGTATTATGACACATTAATGCCTTCATAATCCCTTACTATATTCTTCCTTCAACGATCCAAAATGTACTTAGAAGGAATAAAATCAATGTTTTCTATCTCAATGTCTCTGATTATATGTTAGCACAGTATTCCATAAAACTCAAACAGTTTGGATGAAAAACAAAAAACCACCTTTTTCTTTTTCCTTGAAAACATTTAACATTTTACGCCTTGCTTGCCAAACGGGTATCGGAATCTTCTCTTCTACATCATACAAAACTTTTTCCCCTTCATTTCCTTTTCTCAATACATTTGTGTGCTGAAGGCCTATGACCTCGTTCCTCACCTCTATAAATTTCTTATTTGTGTAGGCCCTTAATAATTATGACTCAGCTAGAATTGTGTTGTCATAACCACAAGGTTTACTATGAGAAAGGATACTCAAATCCTTCTCACCTTAGACTTTCTTTTTATTGCTTTGCTCAAATTGATCATAAATTTCAATAGCCTAGTGTTCAATTTAACATATCCCTTAATACTATGGTTAAGTCCTTCACTCCACTGCGTTAATGACATTCCAGCCTATAAAATATCCCTCTAGAATCCAGGCGCCCAACGATGCCTATTCTCATATGTGTCATTCAGTGGCGGACCCAGGAATTTCCGACTGGTGAGTCACAATCGATAATCAAGTATCTAAAAAAAAAAATTTACCGAAATCCATAGCTAACACTGCATTATTATGTGCACTCGTGTGCTTACCCACATGTTTTCTTATTAAATCCGATCGATTCCATGATTTGAAACCATCACTAACAAAAGCATCACCTCCAAATGCATTTTCATCCTTGAATAGATAACAAGGGAAACAATAGGCAGCATCCTTTTCCACACTATACTCAAGCCAAGTCCAAGTATCAAACCACTTAGCACAAAAGCGACGGTTTTTGCCAAAAATAGAAGTTTGAGGAAATATAAAGTCTTTGGGCTGACAAGGCTTTCTTTGAATGTAAATTCTTCTCACTAAATCTCTATCATCTTTATGAAATTGACTCATCTTTCTCCTCTTTCCTGGATCTTGTGGAAGATTAGCAAATTCATGTTCACTTAATCTTTCACCAAAGATTGGGGCATTAGGAGAACATTGGCCTTGTTCATTTTGAGGGGAATTTTGAGTGGAATAATTAGATGGAGATGAATGTTGTTCACTTTCTTGAGGTGGACATATAGTTTGTTCACTCTGTTGAGGTGGAGATATAGTTTGTTCATTTTGTGTGGGATGTGGAAGAGAAGTTGAAGTAGGATTCTTTTTAGCAAAGAAGCTAGTAATGTTTTGCAGTTCATTTGGAGTGCGTTTTCTCTTCATTCTGAAATTTGAATAAATAATCAACTAAAGCAAGCAAAATTCCCCAGAAAAATTATTTACAAAGATCATTTTACCAAACAAACCACAATTCACATAATCACATATTCACATGGTCAAAAAGGTTCAAATTTCATCTAAAACCCAACAACATTATTACATTAAGGTCATTACTCATTAACAAAAGGTTCAAAGTTTACCAAACAAACAAGTGATTGAAGACTTGAAGTGAACAACTAACAAATCAACCAAAGTTTAATAGAATTAACTAATTAGACTTGATTAAATTGAAGATTAGAATTTTAAACTAAAAATTAGAAATCAACTTACTAGCAAAATGAGAATAGGAGATTAGACTTTAGAAGAAGCGACGAAGCGAAGAGCGGTGAGCGCAGAGCACGCTCTCGACTCTCGAGCAGTGGAGCAGGGCAGCAGGCGACTGCCGACTAGGCGAGCAGCAGGCCAGCAGGCAGTATCACAGCTTGAACAATTAACAAATTCACCATTTCACAGCTTGAAATCACAAGCTCACAGGGCAGCAGGCCAGCATCACAGCATCACAGCTTGAACAAGTATGTAAAGTGTCAATTGTCAAACATTTCACAAATTCACCATTCAGAATTTCATTGAACAATTCACAAAATCACAACAATTAGGGATTATTGAAATTGAGTTGATTATTGAACAATTGAGTTGATTATTGAACAATTAGGGATTTAGGGTTCAAAGAATCAAATTTAGTATTACTAATTCATAACTAACAAGTAATATCAATTATCAACAATTAAACAAATTTAGATGAAGACTAAGTTAATTAATTAATTTATGCGAAGAGGAACTGAGGAAGACGAAGAGGAACTAAAGTGTCAAACATTTCACAAATTCACCATTCAGAATTTCATTGAACAATTCACAAAATCACAACAATATATAACAAAATTAACAATTAACAATAATCAGTACTCAGTAGGCGTCTAGGCAGCGTCTAGGGCCACTGGGCGTCTAGCGATTAGCGAAGCAATCAAGCAATTATCAAGACAATCAAGTTATCAAGTTATCAACAATTAAACAAATTTAGATGAAGACTAACTGAGGAAGACGAAGAGGAAGACTAACCTCACCTGAATTTATGCGAAGAGGAAGACGAAGGGTCGAAGGCACGAACTGCGAGTCTGCGAAGAGGAACTGACTAACTGAGGAGTGAGGAAGATGCTTACTTGCGAAGTTGCGAGTTGCGAACTGCGAAGAGGAGGACTGGAGGAGGCGATTATGGAGGTGAATAGGTGATTGATGATGGCGAAGGATTGAAGCCTTGAAGGGAATTAGGGAAGAGGCGAATTGGCTAGGGCATGAAGGATTGAAGGCCATGAACTGAAATACTGAATTCGTGAATTTGGGAAAACTGATTTTTTTTTTTTTTTTTTTTTTTTTTTTAAAAAATTAACTTAAAATTTTTTTTTGGGCCTGGTGAGTCACTTGACCCACCAGGTCTAAGCCCAAGTCCGCCACTGGTGTCATTAACCGAATCGTTGTTTTCCAACCCATATTTTTTTTACCATTTCTTTCCAAGCTATTTTCTCAAGTTCCTGTGAGCATTTTGCAAGAAGGGCCATATACATAGCCGGTCCAGCACATCATGAAGTCCTATTTAACTTCCTTCTCTATAGCTTTACACTGGTCGGTGATGATACCTTTGGCAAGCTTGCCCGTAAATTACAGCCATTATTTAAATACCAACTCAAATGTTTTTTTTTTTAATTTTAATTTTCATTACAAATTAAGGCAGCACCTAAAATGATCGACGATCCATGATGATTGCAGCCAACAAAAGGAGCAAATGGAATATGGTATCTGAACAAGATAATATATTTTAATGTAAGAAATTACAAAATAATTCTAAAAAGATACTTTAAATCAAAAAATGAATCTTTATACACACTCTTTGATTCTGGAAGACACTTTAAAGTACAATGAACAAACTATTTAAATATATTGTACTTGTTAAAGTAACTGAAAAAGATACTTTATTTCATTAAGATGTTTTAATAATTTCTTTTAATAAAAAAAAAACTCTTTGAAATAAATTAACAATTTTATAAACACACAAATCCTAGCAGTACTTGTCTATTAACTATTTAAATCATACTAACAGCTAAGCATATATAACTATGGATCGGACCTGTTATCATTGACTGAAATGAGCTGAGCTGAACTGAACTTGTTAGAGCTGAATTGAACTAAACTGAACTGAACTTATTATAGCTGAATTGAACTAAACTGAACTGAATATTTATAAGAGAAGGAAATTAGGAGTTGAACTGAACTTATTAGAGCTAAACTGAACTGAACTGAGCTGAAATGAACTGAAAATAATCGTATGAGAATAACACCTTTATCTTACCTGTTGCATTAAAACATTGTATCAAATGAAATTATATATCAAAAATCTTTGTATTGTAAACAAGACCTTGTATAAGCCCAATAATAAGGTTTCCATCTCCATATGTTCGAATCGTACTATAAAAATCAGAGATTGCTTCAGACATCTTTTCAAAATGTTTTTGTACAGGGTCAGGATCCCCAGGCCACTAAATATGGTACGTTGGCACAAAACGTCTACTGTATTTCTCAATTTGCTCTAGATGAAAGTTAAATTCTCTTTTCATTCTCTGGTAATAACAACCAAATTATATGTTATGGTCTTTGAAATTCCGACCAGTTGAGTTGTTTAAGACCATATTTTCAAAAGTACCCTCTGCAATGCTCTAATAGTTCACCATTTTTCGGCTGTCATTTGGACATAGTGAATGATTGTGGGACAATATACACTTTTAAATTACCAATTCATCATTTGAAAACTATGTACCAACATACACTTTACATTCCAAAGAATTTAATGACATGATATCTTCCTTTCCGTTTTCTTTTTCCTCTTGTCTTTTGTACCCTTCTTACAATCCAGACTAATACAAACTGAGACATCATACGGCATATAGGCTCCTTCTTTCCGATACCTAGGTGTAGACACCTACTTTTGGCCTCTTATCCTGAAAGGAAGTGCGATGATGTTGCAAAAATTCATTCTTCATGTTAGAGCAAAGTTGAAGTGTTTATGGACTACGAAATGCTTTATGAAGTAATTTAAAACTCATATTTAAGACCAAGTAATCTTAGAGCCTTGTTTGATTACTAATTAGGCTTAAAACGTGCTCATACATGTTTAAACTTGGTTAATAACGGACCCAAATGCAGGAAATGCAATGAATCGATCCAATAGATCTTACATTGTTGAAAAACGAGACAAAAATATAAACCAACAATCATATTTCCGTTCATGGCCTATATATATGGATAGACCTCTAAAATATCTTTCCAACGGTATATTATAAGCCCAATTCCGAGTTAAAACGAAGAAGTTATGATCAAAACACTAAACCGGGCCCTAAAACCGAAACCCTTGCACTCCAACGGCCATATATTTTGATCCATAACATATTTTAACCTAATTCCAACGGAATTGGAAAGTAGACATTCAAATATTTCCAAAAATATGTCGTACGTCTTAATCCGACTACGCAATCAAAAGTTATAAAAGTGCGTTTTCGTATAAGGCAAACCGCAAACTAGCCCAACTCAATGACTCATTGAGATACGAGGCACCCAACGCGACTCAGAGAGTTGCATGCGCCACCTAACGTCGCGGCCCTAAAACCCTTAAAATAGATCCCTACGCCTATAGATAGGGGTCTTCGTTCAGTATTACGAGCATAGAAAATCAGAATTCTAAACCCCTAATTCTGAAAACCCTAATATCACTCAAACCCTCTTACTGTTATACTACTTTTTTCTCTTTCTTCCCATCTACTATTCAACCCTAATTGAATCCATTGAAGCCCTAGGAGATAAAAAGAAGAAAGAAGGTCCATAAACATCCAAGACAGAGATCTAAGCATACAAAGAAGAACAGTTAGTTTCCTGAGCACTTTAATAAATCACTTTTCTTTTATTGTTTAAATAACTTTAATTGAATAAATAGTGTCATTTGATCACTTTAAACAAAATTTTAGTTAATTAATTCAAATAGTATTCTTTTGTTAAATCAAGACTAGAATTTTATAATTAATTGTTGTTTTATCACTTAAGATAAGGCGAATATTGTTTATTTTGTTCTTTTCACGAATATTGATTAAACAAAGAATAACGACTTTTGCAATATAATTCCTACGTGATTAATGTTTGTAAATAAAATAAACTAACTTAGTCTTTAGGTATCACGTTGCATATATTATTTGGTAATGAAATTGTGAAAAAGGAAGTGCTAGTAGAGGCCGCACTAGGGCTAGATTAGCGATTCTCCTTTAAAGGGAACTTTATTTTAGTACCCTCACTCCCGAACTCATTTCTGGTTTATGTAGACAAATTTGGGCATGGGTGAACTTACGATTCGTGCTAATTACCCCATGAAATCCACATGAGAGAAAGGCATGAACGAGGTTTATGAGTTTTCCTAAAACTCATTGGCGACTCCTACTTGTCTCTTACAAAAAAGCGTGATGAGAGCATCATTTCTAATTCAAGGTCTCCCAAACAGTCTGGAATTCAAATCCTAATACACCCTAACAAGTGTAAAGTCATAGGCCTTTAAAGGGCCATGAGAATTTAAGGAGAAGGATCCCCTACGATGGGAACGCCCTCCTTACAGTGGCGACTCCACTAGGGACTTAGAGGTTACAAGATTAGTTTATAGTTATGGTTCAAGGTTTCCAACACTAGGTTGCCTATGGATTGTAATGAGAACTAACTTGGATAATCTCTAGTTAGAGAACGAGACTCGAACGCATAATATCTTCCTTTTTCACAAAAGTAAAAATCAAACAAGCAACATTGCATCATGCATAAACATAGCACACTTTAACCATTGAGGATTGACTCATTGATTAGGGTTTGCCAACACTAGGCTTCTATCCCAAAATCAATAACAATCATCCCACCTATATCGCCAACAAAATGTTGGGAGGGCTATGTCATGGGTCAACACGTCGAGTGATTGATTCATACATCGTCCCTTAAGATATGGTACCTTTGGACATCTAAGCGTTGACCTTAGAATGACATTGTATGCTTTGACGGTTCCTTTTATGTGCTTATGTGACTACATGAATATGTGATTCGTGTCTAATCTAACTAATTCCAACTTGTTACCTAGAGATATAAAAAAAATTTCGCAAAAATTATGGTTCGACAAAAAATAAAACTATCGTTCTTTTTTTGCATTTTTTCGCAAAAAAAAAAAAAAAAAAAAAAAAAAAAAAAAAAAAAAAACTGCATGTGGTAGATGTTACTCTTGAAGATGCACTTTCCACCTTAGTGCAAGATGGAAAATTGCGCACGATACTATTTTTTATTATAATGATTCTTTTACGTACTTTATAATCGAACTAATGACATTATGAGGTTCGTCATTAGAAGTTCGCATCCCTTAATAGGACGTCATCAATATGTTTATTCTTAAACTTGCCTATTTTTGTGTTCATCATGTTTTAGTTGTAATTTATCAACCTTGATTTAATTAAGAGTATAATTTATTTACATCTTCTATAGTTTAAAAAGAAAATCCCGAGAACCTTACTTGGGATGTTTGCCTCACACAAAAAAAAAAGAGAGAGAGAGAAATAGAACGAAATAAAAAAAAAATCATAGTTCTTAAGAAAAAAAAGTATGATAAAAGAAAAAATTTATTATTCTCAAAAAAAAAAAGAGAGAGAGAAAATAATGAATGATAAAACCGAGAAAATGATTTAATTATTTCTTGGATTTTACTTTCGGAGGTCATCATTCTTTTCAAGCAAATAGTAATATATTATCCTTTAAAGATGAGCAATATGAGAATCATAATTGAAAAAAAATGACATAGATCTCTATTGCAATCTAAATGATCAACAAATAACATAGTATATTTGATCATTTAATGAGTATGTTCGGGTTGATTAATATTCCTGAAAATTTGATGAGCATTTTCAATCCAATTTTCTTGTCTTTCTCTTCTACCTTTTTCGAAAACAATTCATTTAAAGTAAAATCCTTAGATGATTACCTTGTTGAAGTCAACACAAATCATGAAATTCCATTAATGATTGTTCGTGAATTTTTTGACATTGTTCATCAACAAACTTGTTTAAAGTGAATTCGTATTACAAGGATTAAAAAAAAAGAAATAAAACAATCATTTTGACTTTGATTCATTGTTTGAATGTTTGGCAGAAAAGGTTTAAGTGAATGCGCTCAATTTCTCATGATACACATTACTAGATCATCTTCCACATTCTCATACTAGTCCAATCATGGGTGACAAAGCAGCATTGGAGAAACTTAGAGAGGAACTCCAAACCTAAAGGCCCTACGAGAAGAAGAATCCCAAATGAAGGCTCTTAAAAAAACAGAAAAGGCTAAAATAAAAGCAGAAAAAGAAAAAGAAAACATTCTGCAAGAAAAAGCAAGAGCCGAAAGAGTAGAGGCCTTGAAGAAACTTGTCCTTCAAGCTAACTCAGGAAATAAGTACTTCAATTATGAGCTTGCACCACAACCTAGTGGCAAG